ACAAATGCGTAGAAAGTTGCGTGCCACATTTAATGTATGCTTAACGGGTGGCGGGGTTAACTGTGGGCTGTGGGGTGTGGGTTGTGGGGTGTTAACCCATGTCTGCATGTCGGCATGCACCACTGATAAAGTGTCAATAATGCGCTTTAGCGACAGCTTCCACATGTCACCCACAAATCAAATCAAACAAAACCGAAGCAAAGCCAAAGCGAACCAAAACTAAAGCCGAAGTTGGCAGCCAGCGTTGCATTAAGCGAGTGGCAAGTACTTGACCGAATTCCACAGCGAACACCCCCCCCCCACCCACACACACGCACACACACATACACCTCACACCCCACTGTGACTGCCCCTGCGCCTGCCACAATGTTAACAAGCTGAGTGCAGTCAATGTACACTGGGAAAATTAATAGTTCGTTGAATGAATTCTTGATTTGGAAATCGATAGTAATTGTCACATAAATCAAAAGAAATGTGCTTGAATCAAGCAATAAATATTTATAGTAAGCATTTTTACACTTTGAATTAGTAAGAAACGTTGTAGTTATTAAAATTCTCAAGTTTTTACTTCAAGCTGATTTAGTTTAATTTTAAAAGATATCAGAATTGTTTGAATAACAAATGCAAAAAAATGCATAAATTTAATTTAAATTTAAGAAAATATCTGGATTGTTTGAAGAACTTGATTACATGAAATATGAAACAAATATCTTACTACAAGAATTAAATGCTTGACTTCATTTAAGCCCAAACTTGCTTTAATTTTGTTTGAAACAGAATACAGGAGACAAGTTTTGGTATTACAATTGATAGAAGCACTTTACTCATGAAAAATACTGCTTAAGAAATTGTGTAAGTTTTCTCCAAGTGTAGCAGTGTGCATAATTATGTTCAGCACTCGAACGGCGACTGTCAAAAAGTTGTTCCCCAGTTCTGCAGTTCTGCAGTGCGGCAGCTGCATCTGCGTTGACACCAAAAACTCTGTCTGCAACTCAAGCTCAGACAGTGACGCAAGTTCATGCAACGCGACGCCTTGCTGCCAGCAGCTGAGATGTGCCAAGTTGCAAATTGCAAATTGCAAATCAAACATTTGAGCTGCACAGCCAGGATCTGCAAATATATTTGCATATTGCACACAAACTGCTTCAACAGATTCGACAAACAACAAACCAAACATCAAAATGCCAAAGGCAGTAAAACTCAGTTATTGCCAAAAATTTGTTACATGTCCAAAATTTGTATACAAATTATTTTGTGGATAAAATTACTTGGTTTTTTTTTAATGAAAGATGAAGACAAATTTACAAGAATGCTGTAGACTAGTGTGATGAGCTATGAGATGCCCAACAAACAGAGTAATAGCATTTAAGCCAGCAAAATTAATTAACAGCTGGAGCATTTTAAGCGTGTGAAAATTGTTATTTCTGCATAGATCATTTGGATCACTCTTTGTAGTTTGAATACGCTTCTACACTCTAAAAAGAATTACAATGAATTTTAGAAAACTCAACCAAAAATTCTTGTTTTTAGAAATAATTTCTATATATACACGAAAAGAAATTCATTACATTTTTTCTGAGTGGAGTGTCATATAAATTAAAGTTTGTTACGCATTTAAGGAGACATTTTCGACTGACTCGTCAGCTTCTCTGCAAACTAAAGCGTCAGCTTTAAGCCTATCTTGATTTATGATTTATTTATAATTTGATTTATGTAATTTTTGACATGCCAAAGATAGCCGTTTTTACTTGTTATTTAATTAGCCAGCTACATATTCTTGTAACCGTCACAACAATAGCTCTGATTACGAAACAGACACTAACACAAGCACATATAATATGTCCATATATATATCTATATATATGTATACATATATACACATACTTTCAAGTCTGTAAGCTTACAAAATTTGAAGCCCGCATCAGGCAGGCAGCCTGAATAACAAATATTTTCACACATGTCAAACAGAAATATTCGTTGTCATGGCTAAAGGAAAATTGATAATAATCTGCCATATAGCGCAAAACAAACAACATACAACATTCAACACACAAGGCACACAGAGATGCAGTTGAGCACGACAACAACGACGACGAAGCTATAATGTCGCCATAGATGGCGGGGGATTTGGTTGGGGGTAGGGGCGGTATCGGGGTGTAGGGGGTATGCAGGAAGCGGCCCAAACTCGATCGTGCTGCAAGAAATATGGCAAAAAATCGTGCAATAGAAAACTGAAGCAAAAATTCAAGCAGACATTGCCACATGCAACAGCAACAGCAACAGCAAAAGCAACAAAACGCAGCTTCCTTGAAAGGTGTGTTTTTGAACAATTAATTTTGCTTTTTCGGCAGACTTGCAGTAGAGTAGAGTAGCGTAGAGTCAAGTCAAGTCTAGACTCTAGAGTCTAGAGTCTAGAGTCTCGAGTCGAGGCTTATGTATGGATTTGTCGTATCAAATCGTTGAGCAACAGAATGCGGGCCAATGACCAGAGAAGCAGCAGCTGAAGAAGAAGATCTATGAGCCAATAGACTTTAACCAATGCAGCAAAAGATGCTGCTGCTGATGGCAGTTTATTTATGGCTGCCAAAGAACACAATAATGATGTTGATAATGTTCTTAATGATGATGATAATGACAAGCTGGCAATGACCATTTAAGTGTTGATTCTAAGCGCACACTTTGGAAAGTTGCATTGCGGATTTCCAGGGAACAGAAAAGCAATTTGATGACGCCAATAAAATGTATTTAAAGGCAATTGATTGTTGTCGACGCGTCTGCAGACATGCGCTTCTAATGGCAACGCCACAAAGCCTGTAGCAAAAAGAAGTAGGCCTTAGAGCCACATCTTAGATATGGCAGAAAGACCCCACCAGTCGCGGCACACACTCAACCACACACACAAACACACACACTTACACGCCTATGTGGAGCCCACAACTGACATCTAGTGGCACTTGAGCTAAAACTTGCAGCTTGAAGTGCATTTCGGAATGCTACACACACACACACACACAGCAGTTGTACACTCAAAAAAAGATGCAGATTCTCTCGTTTAATATATTATTCTTGCTTTTGAGAAAATCATTTGGACATTTACATTAATCTAAATTATTTTCACAATAGGGAAATGTCGAAATTATTTTGTTAAAAGCAAGAATATTAATTCTAAAATCAACATTCTAATCAAAAAATGCTATCACTGGTAAACGAGAAATCTATCTTTAAAATACAGCGAGCTTGCTTTGTGACGATTTTCCAATTCATCCATGTTTTTTCTTAGTGTATTCGAGGTTCAGGGCACTTGAGCATCAAAAACTCTTCAAGATGCAACTCCGACTCATTTTTTTTGTTCGATTTATTTTTGTTGTTTTTTTATTTTTATGTTTTTGGCAGTTTGAGCTCAAGGTAATGTAAATTTTGTTATGTTGTTAACAAAACAAGTGGTTTTCACACACAGCTTGATAAATGAACCGAACCAAATGCAAACCAAATCGAACCAAAAACTGAACTGTGTTGCATTCAATCTAAGTGGTAATGGCGCAACTTTCACAAAAAAAAATATATATAAAAAAAAACACAAAAGTCCATTATAAAAACTTTCTAGGCCTAATGAAACTGAACTAATTAATGATGCTGCAAATGCGTAGCGAATTATCTAACGTAAAAAAGTGCCAGAATGTGTGCATGTATGTGCCACATGTGGCAGAGTTAGCGGTACGTTGACATTAGCCACATGTTGCAGTCCCAATTTGTTACTCGCAGCACCACTAATGTGGTGCACTAGGTCAGCTTTGTGTTTCTTTTTCTCTATTTTTTGTTTGGGCGTGGCATTATATATTGCCATTCCCCTCCATATTGTTATTAAGCCAGTGCCAGACTGCAAATTGAAACACCCACACAAAATACAACAACTACAACAACACACACAACAACAACGAAAAGAACAACACACTTGTCAGGCTTGCAAATGTTTGAGCATATGTAAATGAAACCCACTGCAATTGCACTTTGGACATTGCTTTTAATTACCCAAAAAAAAAAAAAAAAAACAGAAAAAGCAGAAAAAAAAACAGAAAAATCAGAAAAAAAAACAGAAAAGGCAGGAAAAAAACAGAAAAAATGCAACAAAATGCATTTAAAGAACGAGTCCATACATAATTTGTAAGCACTGAGCAAACAACAACAACAACCACAGCAGCAACGGTCTTTAAAAGTGAACGGAACAGCTGGAAAATATTACGGGTGTGAGTGCGAATATTCGTTGCTACTTTGAGGCATGACAACACAGTGGCACCAATAATGTGGCACATGCCACGAATTGTGTTAGCGCAGTAAAGTATTTAAACGAGAGATTTTGAAATAAAGTATGATCGCACACCAAAAAAAAAAAACAAAAAAAAAAAAAAAACAGGGAAGCATTAACTACTTAAACTAGCTTCAGCTATTTTTTACGAATTGATTTTTATTGGTTTTCATAAAAATCCGTTAATCATGAGCGCCAACTAGGTCTGTGCGAAACAAACCCAACTCAATCCTCACCTAACCCACAATCTGACAATTTTGTGATAATGAGAAATAATCTTCAAGGCACATCATTATAGAAAACATACGGTAGACTAGGGCATTGGAAAGATGTCTTAAGCTTGAAGGACATAGAAACCCTCAGCCCAACGAAGATTCTCACATTGCTGTAGGAAATATGGTTTATGGAAGAATATGGTTTATGGAAGAGTTGTAGGCTTCGAAGGAGGCAGAATAGATCTGACAGATCGCAGATCATGAAGCCTGCCAATAGTATTAATAATAACCAACTATTCTATCTATTAATTTTAAACTCAACCTTTACATTTTACTGATTATGAATTAGAATGTAGTAGGCTTTACGAATTGTTTTTGCAGCAAGCAACTCTGATATATTAGTAATTCATTCGAAAAGTGTTTTTTATGAGTCCAACAGAGCTCTAAGTAACTTTTTATTAAAATTTTTTTTTGCAATTTTTGTAATGTACTTTAATCAGGATCAGACAGGATTTGTAATTTATTGAAAGTGTAGAATAGTCGATAATGAACGGAAGTCGATGCCCACCACGGGCATGTAAGAAACCACCGACTTTAGCCCAACAAAATGCGGCAATCGAAAGACTAATCAAAACCGTTTGCAGGGAATGCAGAAAACTTAAAAATAGACTTGTGGGCGAGTGTAGAAACGATGAAAAAAATCCACTAGAGTCTATTAGAGAAAAAATCCATCAAATTAATGTGGAGGTTCTCATCAAGTTGAAGTGTCTGCTGGATGGATTAAGCCTAGAATGGCATAATCTGGAGCAGACGATATGCGCCTTGCAATACGCATTGCTCAATCCGCGCCACAACCTCCCCTGCATGATGTGCATCGGCGAGAGCGGCGAGCAACATCGCAAGCTCTCACTGCCCTGTGGACACGTGTGCTGCGAGCCGTTCATTATCGATCGTTTCAGCAATTGTAAAAAGTGTCCAATATGCGAAAAGAACATCAAAATCGACCAATTGTGGCGTGTCTACTGTGTAATTATAATCTTTGAGATATGAGCTGTTTATTCGCATGGTTAACGACTTATTTTCTAACTATTTAGGATCCTGAATGACAAGGAATTGCAGCCAATTGAAAGTATGACAAATACTGAATCTGAAATTAACAGATAATTTAATAAATAAGGAAAATACTGTAATAAAAATGGATTTAAATATTCACTAACTAGTTGCGACTTTGAAGCGGCAAGCTTTTCATATATTTATTTGTACAAATGTTGCGGCTTGAATATCCTTGTTAAAGGTATTATAATTTTCTCATAATGTGTCTAACCCAAGTCTACAGAGATATAGTGATTGATATACATCTAGGGTACATACGATATATATTCATTTATATATATATATATATAGTAAAGTCGATATAGTCATCAGATATAGCTACCATCGCAATTGGTCAACAGATAAGTTCTTGTGTAAAAACCAGTTATCCGCATCAAACATGGCAGATAATGCGAATCTAACACTATCAACATCGGACTATCTTCTATGATCTGTGGGCTTTTTTAAATTTATAATGAAATTTGTATTTCTAAAAGTCGATTACAGTATTCATGGTCCTGTAATCTTCGGTGTACTTGAGATAGCCTCTTTTTTTTATTTTTGCTTAATTTTAATTTCTACACTTTAAACTACTGTGCGCATAGCTTCTCAATTAAATCCCCCCTTCGAGTTGCCCGCCTGCGCAGCAACAGAACGGAAATGGCCGCGAATTGTGGCAATAATGGCGATTCACCAGCTACACACTGTAGAACCAGCAGACCAAACCGACTAAAAATAACAACAATTACAATTTTAATTTCAATTTGGAAATCGCTTGATTTTCACCTTTATTAATTGTGCTGCGTTGCTTTGCTTTAAATGTGCAACCTACCGGCAATTGAGAAAACCGCTGAAATCAACACAATTATCAGCGTAGAGCCCGTATGGGGGGAGGGAAGGGAGTGACATGTTTTGGTTTTTCTTTTCTGTTTTTTTTTCTTTGTGTGTGTGGGGGGCGGGATGGCAACAACTACAAGGTGGGCGATGTGTCAAGTGTCACTCAATGACATTTTCGAAAACAGACATAATAATACATTTTCATTTTCTCAAATGGAACATTTTAATTTCGTTTCGAAAAACGAAAAGCAAGCCGAAATTATGAAATTTCCGGCGGCAATCGGGAGACGGCAAAGACAAGCAAAAGATTCGTGGGCCGTTGATAAGCTGACGGTGTCCAGGAAACCTGCACCGAGCTCCGTCAGCACACACCAGCTGCTGGTGCACAGAAACTACCAACAATTTCTATACTCGACAGTCATAAAAATGATTTTTTAAAAAATGTTATTTAAAAGTTATGAACATGGACCGAAGGTGACATCTGTGAACCCACTGAGTACTAAAAGTTGTATATCCGGGTCTATTGATTACAATGCCCACTTTTGCATACTCAATTAAATTAGTAATCAATTTTAATAACAATCTTTATAATGAGCTTACAGGGCATCTGTTAGTGCAGCAGTCTTGTTTAGAGCATGCTTAGTGATTGTGTGCTGCTTTTGGTAAGGCATTTTCCGGCCGAAAAAACCAACCAAAATTGCCAACTGCAAATGCGCATTAAAATGAGCATTGACTATTTTTCTCTCTATCTGTATCTCTCCGTATATCCCCCTCTCTCTTTATATATATATATATATGTATAGTTTTATGGCTCACTCTCTCTCTCCCAACGCTATGGAGGTTTATGGGCACTTGGTTTCAACCACTGAATTGACATGTCTGACACATGTTTCGGTTTTGGTTTTTGGCTTTTGTTTTGACTTTGGAAGGGGCCAAGTTAATTTGAATACACTTTTGGTACTTGCCTCATAAAATGTTCAGCCTGAGTTTTATGCATGTTTCAAGCTATCTAATATATGTACATTTTTGGTGCGAAAGCCGTTTTGTTTACCTGTAAATACACAGAACAGACAACAAAAAAACACAAATTAGGCAAGTGTTATGTATTGAAAAATAATATAAAAATGTTAAAAGTTCAACATTTTTTGATTTGAAATTTAAAAAAATAAAAAAAAAAAACACCAGAAAAAATGCTCGAGGCAATTTTAAAACGCTGACACCCACGACCAACAAGTTATCTCCAGTTAATTAATTGAGTTCAACAAGTTGAGAAAATAATCAAAATCAATTGAACAATTTTTCATTTTGGGGTCAAGCGGTAAACGGCGAATGTTTTTTGTTGCTATTGTTGTTTTTGTTTGCTGACGATGTCAAAATCACATTTTGCAAATATTGCGAAAATCGTAAAAAGTGTTTTGTGTTGCGATTGTTGTTGCTGGTATTTCATAGCTGGTTGTTATTGCAATCGCCAATTTAGCGCTATTCATTCATAAAAATTTGTTGTTTCATGCGGCGCTTGAATTTCGTATTGAAATTATTGTTAAACGTGCTCAAAATGCTCAATCAAAAACGCATTACATGAATTTTGATTTTTCATTTAACATGACAGCCAAAATATGAAACAAACAAATAATATTTGATACTTGGGCAAAACTTGCGCAATGCTCGCTCTATTGGCTTACATATTTGTAAAGGGAATGTAATATATGTGTATATGTTTGTATGTGTGTGTGTGTGTTTTTTGTCAATTGAGGCGCACATTGCGTGACATAATAATTTTAATTACATTCCATTTTAGAGTGAACTTGAACCAGGGTTCAGTAGTCGCGTCATCGTCGGAACTCAGATAGCTGATAGCTGCTCGGGCGCACATAAATTGTGTAAAGTAGCTCGTAAATAATCAATAAAATGAAACAATCGGCACATTTTATTCACATTTTATTTCACACAGCAGCTGAAATTTCGAGCTGCAGAGGAAACTGTTCTCCTAGTTTTGCTTAGCAGCTTCAAAAAGCGCCGCGCCTCAGCCAGTTGTGAATTAAAAACAAAGACAGATTTTTCTGTTTTTTTTCTTTTTAAGTGTGGGAATGAAGCAGCCTAGAGACATAAGTTCTTGTCCCTAGAAAATCGCTCTTTAGTTTAATTAAAAAAAAAAAAACATTAAAAAAACTATTATAAACTATTCATCAATAAGTTAATGAGGGCAATGATTAAACTATGAAAACTATTATAATCATACAACTAAGTTGTCTCTAACATGTGATTCATAAATAGATTGGTAAAACCAATGATTCAACAACTCTTTAACAGTAGATATATGCAAATGACTTTAAGATAATTTTTACTTTGCTGGAATAACAATGTAACAATATAAATTATAATGGCACTCAACACCAAAGAGTTGTTAAATATTCCACTTGTTATATGCGCACATTTCTATGCTTTTGGCATATTAAAAACCTTTAGGTTTTCATTAGAGATCTTGAAAAGTTTTATAAGTTCGTTGCTCTGGCACATTTCGGGCACTTTGAATGAATATACTGCCCACAATAACCACTACTAAACACTGATAGGCCATATAATATATATTATATTATATTATAATCACTATGTAGAGTCTATAAAGTATTTTGCTGTTAGTCATCATCGTCAGCATTGCGAAACCAGTTTACAAAGCAAATTTTATTTTGCATGCCAATGCTTTTCACTATTTAGAAATTCAGTACTTTGCATTCAACTTATCTAAACAATAACTCAGCTAATTGCATGGAACAACAACAATAATAATAGTCATAAAATGCCTTAGCAGAAGCCACTTTTGAAAAGTGGATGATATCATTGCAAATTGTAGAACAACTGTTGCAATTGAAGTCAAGTATTCCAAAGTTTCTATAGTTTTGCGTAATGCTCTAAATTCCTTGCCATCAAACACACTCATTAATTTATGGACAAACACAACACACACACTCGCCACTCGCGCATTATAAATAATGTGTGTAAGTATATTAAAAGCCGTAGCGAAAATCTTACAAAACTGGCCAAAATTTATGAGAGGAAATGAGCAGAATATATTCAACGTTCAATGTCAAATAGCGCGAACGCGTTTGTTTATCAAATTGAATTTGTAGCGAGCTCTCAATTCGCCAGTTGGGCAAGCAGCAGATGCACTGAGAGAAAAATGAAATAGCACTAAAGCAAGAACTATTTTATTTAGGTAAAAAGCACTGGGAAAAGCACAGAGGGAGCAAAGTGGAAACAAATCATGTGAAACTTAATGGCCGGAACCGAGATACAACTTTTTTTTAAAACCACTTACAGGAACCGATAATCTTTGTCCATATTGAACATCAGAATCGAATAACAAAGAATTTGGAATCAATTCATAATGTTTTCGGAACTTGTATTCTTTACGTACCGGAACAAGAACAGAAATATATTTAAGAATTTAAATTATTGAGTCAAGCTGATGAAGTTTCATTTTCAAAATGATATTAGGATTAAATTAATATTTTGAGTATTTAAAATAAACAAATAAATATCTGACTTAAAGTAATTATTATAGTAAGAGCACAACTATTTTAAACATTAAATTTACGAATTTATTGGTCTGCGTTCGGCAAATTCTATACATGATTTTTAGCTAAGTGTAGCTATTGAGCAAGTTGTGGTTTTGGGGCGTGTAAATTGCTGCCATCGAATGTGGCAGCCAAGCGGCGCGATGTCGAGGCCTTTAATTAAGTAAGAGGCAGGGAGGCAGTCGGGGCATTTAACGGTTGATTCTTAAGCAAACATAAATTGTGGGGTATTTATAAGAGATACAAGTCAAGATCGCGCGATTAGCTAGCAGTAGATGCAATTACCGCCAGTTGCAAGTTGCAAGTTGCAGTTGCAGTTGCAGCAGCAATCATCAGCCATCAGAGCTGACCAAATTGAATTGCTGCAGCAACAAGTCACTGAACATGGCTAAAAAAGAGAAGAAGAAGCGGTTTTATAGATACTCATGATACTTTTGAATTAAATTTAAAATGTTGGCTAACAGGCAAATTCCATTGAAGCAGCTGTTGCCGTTCATTAGGTCGCTTTTAATACGAGTATGATAATGTGCCGATCACATTTATCAAAAAGAAAAACAACACAGAAACAAAAGAGAACAATCATCTAATAAAAAAGCCAAATAACAAATCAGCAGACGAACTCTGAGAAATGGATTATGCTAATTTGTTTAAGATTTTGCATAATTTGACTTAGTTTACAGAATAAACATATGCTAGCGAA